GATTGTCCCTTCCTCTGAAGTCTAGACATATTCGGATCAAAAACTTTCTCATTCGAGACAGTTTCAAACAACCACAAGAAAAGTCAACAAATACGCGCCTGAAGTCTAGACATCATTTGAGCCAGTTTTTGTTGTCGTTCCGATAATTCACCACGACCAGAATAGTCAACCCGAAACAGTGCCATAATTGAATCAACAATCAACAGTTTGAATACGCCCAGCTCCTAGAGTGATCAACACTTCAAAGTAACACTTTCACTAAATGGAACGTTAGGTAGGTAAGCAACTGCAAGAAACTCGTCGAATACGATGAAGTTAATTTGGGAAACCTCATGAAATTTAGCAGCAACATAGTCGAGCAGCTCAAGTTGATGATCTGAAGTATACGCTCTTGCATACAATACATTGTCCAGCATTGCGTCTTGATCCATATTAAAACGATCACAAATTTGTCGTAATCTGTTTGGTCTGTAAAGAACCACTGTTGCGCAACAGTAAGCATTCATCATCTTCTTTTGCTGATCAAATACGTTTCCTAAGTACACACTCACAACAGGATTGAGTGTTCAGTGAAACTTAAGATGGTGATATGAAGTCGAATTAACCTGAATGTATTCTCGGTATCGATAAAAACCACTTTACCGCCTTTGAAAGAAGTCAATGGATTTGGCATCTGACAAGTTGCTGAAATTAGATACTAATCTTGATGATGATATATTTTGAAAGTGATAGTAATACTGCGACTGTTGATAGTGCATCAATATATTTGACAGTAATGATTTCATGAACAAATAAGAATGTTAAGAATATCATTTTTCGACAACAAATGCCCGACTGCAGAACGCCATTTGTTTTTCATTTATCGTTATGCAAGTAAATGAATCCTTCCATCTGCTCTCCAATGTTCAGTCTCAATAGAGAATCTTATCAATATTTGTTCGAATAACCACCCACATGATACGCTCCCGTAAAAGAAATGGAACTTTATGAGTGTTTTTTTCNTATCAGAATGGTTCGATTGATTCAGCTGATCCAAATAACAGCATTGCAATTGTTGAAAATCGCGACATCATCAGTAAAACGCACACATTATGTAATGAAACTTTCCGATGCGATAAAAAGAAAACAGGTACAATAAGTTTTCTAGCAGCGTTCGCACGCTACTGGATTGATTAATTAACTGCGGCAATAACTAACCGCAGAGGGTATGTGATATTTGTGTTTTACCAGTACGAAATTCACCAAAAACCTCAGTGATCGCTTGACTCTCAATACCGCCACCTAACAACTTATCCAATTCATGACTTCCTGTCGAGATGCGAAAACAAAGTTTGCGACGTTCGACTACTTCCAGTGCAGTTATAAAACCGTTCTTCTGAAACAGTTTTCATCCAGTTGAAACTACAGTCACAACGAAACTGCTGAAACCTTCATTTGAAATAATTGTTTTTCAAAACATTTCCTACTTGCTGAAGGAATAATATAGAAGTATTTTGTTCACAGACACTAATTCTTCAAAGATTTCGAAAGGCAATCGAAGAAATGCGTACAGTAAGCTTCGCAGCAATTTCTTTGATCTTATCCACCTTCGCTTCTGAAAGACCCTTCACATCACATAACCGCTTCCTTGTGGTCATCATGATCCCTTTGATTGTACAAATACCAACTCCTTGTAGCTTCTTTATATCCGCCACGTTTATTCCATGACTTTGAAGAAGTTCTACATCTTGGTAGAAGTTCAGCTGAAAAACACAAATTTATGACTCTAACATCATAATTCAAATAATTCGTCATCTAATAATTCAAACACTGAATCACAATATCAATTTCATGATGTTGCTCATGCAAATTCGACACCTGCAGATAAACTATGATATATCGACTGAATTATCAATGCAAACATTAGTTCCAAATATCTTCAAAGAACGTTATTCGTGGTTGTCAAAC